GTGACTACCATAATTCAAAAAAGAAAAAGAGCATAGCTAAACAAATTAGAGATGCATACACTGAAGAGAAAGAGAGAAGCACGTGATAGCTGTCTTTAGTGATCCAAAATGCTGTTACTTCTGGGGAGACAGGAACAAAAATAAGTTCACATTAGATAAGACACCAACAGACCAAGGAAACAATTCAAGTCTACTATGATGAACCAATGAGTTCATTGGGGTTATTTACACGAACACAGGTGACTTCAAAGGCAACTGTATCATTGAAAAGTCCATGTTACCAGTTGTTAGTGCTCCAGATGTTTTCCAAATCTGTGAGACATTCAAGGGTTAGCTTTACATAATGAAACTTTATCACAGAGGACAAGCAGGCTCTCTGAAGTCCATTCCAGCAGAGGATATTCTGAAAACATTAGCAAGATACAATACAACATTTGAATCAATTCGTTGGGAGAGTAATTTTGGGCATAGTAGCATAGACCAGACAGTACCATTCCAAAATTCACATTTGCCTTGAGCCATCTGGTCTCATTCCTTTGGGTTGATGCACATCATCCCCCACATCCTGAATGATCTCAGTAGAGCTAACTTGCATTGGCTGGCCTGGCCCAAAGCCAAGAAGAAGTAAGGCCAGCAATGCCAGCCTGCTATACCTGCCACCCTGGACCCAGCTTCCAGGGTCTGACAGGCTCTAAACTTGTGCTGTGGCCACCACTCTCCATTAACCACACATAATTGCAAATGAACTCCACCCTCTGTATCCTTTTTCACATGAGAGTATTGTGCTCAGGGGAAGACACTTGCCCACCTCTAGGAAAAACTTTGGTGAGGCTTAATGTTGGTTTTAGCCAGGCAGTGGTGGCGCACGCATTTAATCCCAGCACTCCGGAAGGCAAAGGCCGGCAGATCTCTGAGTTCGAGGCCAGCCTGGTCTACAAGAGCTAATTCCAGGACAGCCTCCAAAGCCACACAGAAACCCTGTCTTAAAAAACAAGAACAAAAAGAATGCTGGCTTTGTATAAATCTTGCTTCATTTGTCACAATTTTTTTTTGTTCTTTTAATTTTTTTTTTAAAATTATATGTGTGAGTGTTTTGCCTGCATGTATGTGTCTGTGCCACATGCTTGCCTAATGCCCAAGGAGGTCAGAAGAGAGTGTTAGATATTCTGGAACTGAAGTTACAGATTGTTGGGAACCACTATATGGGTGCTGAGAACCAAACCTATCTCATCTGCAAGAGCAGCCAGTGCTCTTAACCACTGATCCATCTCTCCTATCCCCATTTTACTGGTTTTGTGTGTTGTCTGGGGAGGGCTCCAGCACAGCATGCATATAGAAATAATGAGACAACATTCAGGAATTGGTTTTCTTACACCACATGATACCTAGGAATTGACTCATCATCAGTGTTGGTTACAAGTACTTTTACCCACTAAACTCACAGGCTGTTTTTATTTTTTAAGATGGGCTTATGTATTCCAGGTTGGCCTTAAACTCCTGCCTCCATTTCCTATGTACTGACAGATATGTCACCAAGCCCACGTGTAGTTGTCTTTAAGTGATCCTGGCAGACCTCTTTGCCTTTTTTTTTTTAAATCCCCTTTGATTGTTTTCACACCTTATAAATTTCCTGCTCTGCAAACCCTATTTAAAGTCACATACCAGCCATGAGGTCTCTGCTGAATTAACTTGCTTTTCTTTTGTGTCTCCTGTGAAAATAGTCCTATCAGGTCCAGTACACTTGGCACTGTGCACTGACTCTTGAATGCTAAGTTTCCCTAGTAATATCTGCCATTTCCTGTGGTCTTCCAGAACCTGATGTTAGGGAATGTTAGCCAGTGATAACCCAGCTGATGAACTAGTCCACCAGGGATTCTTTTACATTATAATTTCTCTACTCCCACATACTCAAATTCCATGCATCCCCATGTCTCACAGCTTTATTAAACAGGCCATTACAGGAGTCTCTTTCATTTCTGGTTTAAAAATCTTCCAGGGCTGGAGAGATGGCTTAGAAGTTAAGAGCACTAGCTGCTCTTCCAGAGGTCCTGAAATCAAATCCCAGCAACCACATGATGGCTCACAACCATCCGTAATGAGATCTGTTGCTCTCTCCTGGCATACAGGCCATAAATGCAGGCAGAACACTGTATACATAATAAATACATAAATACATAAATAAATAAATAATTTAAGTCTTTTCCAGAGCCAAGAAGATAGCTCAGGGAGTGAGAATTCCTATCACCAAACCTGACAACCTAAATTGATCTTGGAACCCACATTGTGGAAGGAGAGAACCAACTTCTGTGACATGTCTGTTGACCACACACACTCTGTGGCATGTGCAATGCCAACACACAGTACACACATACATATAAAATTTAATTTAAAAATAGTCATTCCCATTCAAGCAGTACCCCTATCTATATGCTGAATTAATAGGTTTCCCCCTTTCTCTGTATTTAAGCGCAAATCTAGGGAATATCTTCCGTTTTTCTGCCTCCATCTTTACTTCCTAGTTTCTCTTATGAATCCTGGAACTTAAGAATATAAAGAACTAGCTTGTTCTCTCTTTTCCATCTTGCTAGCTGTAAGAAATAGCAAGCCAATATGCATATCTTCCTCCCTGTATCTCACTTTCCCTGTCAAGTCAGAAGCTAGTGTGGAAGGAAACAGTTGCTTGTCTTTGCCTCCTAGTAATAAATATTCCCTTATATGAGCAAGTTCTTCTGACCTTGGCTGTCTTATTGCCCACAGAACTGCCACCACAGCCTGCTTACCATCCCATCGATGATACTTTTTGGGTTGTAACACTGATTCTCTAGCCCATCGACCATTTTTGGGGTGTGCTTGTAGCAGACTCCATTCATCAAGGAGACATGCCACCCTGTAACAAATGAGATGATAGGTGATCATTTTGGGATTTCCTCACACAGATGGCCTTTTCAGAATTCTGAGCCTTGGTTGCATATCTTATTGCAGGGAATATGCATCTGCCACCACAGCAATGTAATGTGGCACACGATTTCCTACCACATAGGTAGGATAACCATATCAGCATTACCCCCACAGGTGTTGCACACTCAGACAGACCCATTGCAGATGCTTGACTGATCCCTATAGCAGGGCCCTGGAACTGTACCTCTCAACTTACCTTTGCTTTTGTGGGTCTCTGTAGATGCCAATTGCTTTGTGTGACTTCCTGGAGAGATGTGGATAAGCATTTATTCACCCCATATAGGGCACTGGCCATAGACCAAAGAAACCCACTGACCCATGAGCTTCTCTGGGTTTTATACGGCATGGTGACTCAAAGGCAGCTGCACCCCAGAGCTCTCCTCCTCCTTTATTCACGATGCTAATGCTCTCTATGCTTTCTTGATTTTTATTCCTATCTCTGTCCTTTACTATTTTTATTCGGTGCCTGGACTTCAGCTTGGCCTCGCTCATACTGGGCAACAGCTAAGCTATAACCCACACCCTCCTGTCGTGTCCTGCTAAGTATAGTGTCCATGTAGTAAAACCCACAGATTTTAAGTCTGTGGGGTCCATTGGAGCATCAGGAAGCCCACATTGTGATCCATATCTCATTCTTGTTGTGTTTGGCCATTTCTTGCAAAGATCCCTGATTCCTTTATTGGCAGCTAATAGAAATCAGCATGTAGGCTCTGTTTACTAGGTTCTGTCTCGGGGTCCTTTCAAAGAGCAAACCTAGAAAATATAAAATTACATTTTAAACCTGTTTTTCATCATTGCTTTAATTTCTCCCTATAGGGCTTTTCCTCTAATTCCAGATTCCATATTCTCACAGGAAGGATCTTGGTTCTTAATTATATGAATACTTTTAATTTGACTAATTTCAGGATAATTAAATATCCACTATACCAACAACAAAAGTTCAAAACGTTTTTGAAAGTTGTTAAAGCTAAACCGGATGACAGATCAGTGCTTTAGAGTGATAGAAAGCCAAAGCACTCTATAAGTTACTTGTTTTCATTACAGAAAAAGCTGTTGAGAGATCATTCTGAATGCTTCTGAGAACAAGACCGGTGGCCTTGGAGGAGTCTGGTGCCCAGGAGGGGTCCTAGTCGGCAACAAATGCCAAAGCTGCCTATGTATACGCATATTTGTTTTGTTTTGCTTTTCAAGACAGGGATTCTCTGTATAACAGCCCTGGTTGTTCTGGAGCTCACTTGGCAGACCAGGCTAGCCTCGAACTCAGAGATGTACCTGCCACTGCCTCCTGAGAGCTGGGATTAAAGTCGTGAGCGACAACTCCTGGACAAACACAATAAAAGGATTTTGGAACAGGCTCTATTATAATAAAGAGCCAAATTAAAAAAGATGGTGGCACATGGGTTTAATCCCAGCATTCGGGAGGCAGAGGTAGGCGAATCTCTTTCAAGGTCAACCTGGTCTACAGAGCTATTTCCAGGACTACACAGGGAAACCAGTCGCGAAAAAAAAAAACGATGAGGATTCCTGGAGGAAACTCTGAGGGCCTTGTCCCAAACCAAGAAATGAGGACTGCAGAGATGTTTCACTTCCGGTAACCTAACTTCCGTGTCTCTTTCCAGACCTGCAGCACTACTGGATAAAAGCAAATGCCATACATCAATTGGCTGTTTCTGAGGCTCCTCCTTACAGTAGAGACCTTTAGGGAACTTCTAACTCCAATGTCCCTGCCTGCCCTGGATTCCTGGCTTCCTATTGGACTGCCACTTTCCAATCGGCAGGGTTTCTGAGACTTAGTCCTCAAGCAGCTGGGGCTGCAATGACAGGGTTGGAGGCTTAAGTCTTTGTGGGCTCCCTACCGGTTAAAAGCAAAGGAGTAAACGCGAGCTAGGCAGCTGAGGGTCATTGTCCAGGTTAGACTGTCCGCCTCCCCCACCCCCGCCCACACGAGTCCCTCTGCTCGAGACCCCGCGCCTCCTCCCAGTGGTTGCCAAGTGCGCTTGCGCGGTAACAGCCGCCCGCACTTGTGCCATTTCCCCCTTCTTCCGAGCCACCTTTCCCCCTTCCCTTCCCTGCCCCCTTCCCTGCCCTGCTACCCTCCCTTCCCTGCCCTGCTACCCTCCCTTCCCTGTAGGCCCTTGGGTGTGGTCTCCCCGGTCCTGATCCTTCCCCTACCCCACCCCCACCCCCAGGACCCTGGCGCCCCAGCCGCAGGTGCTGCGTCCCCGGGAGCCACGATGTGCGTCCTCTCAGAACCTGTGGGCCTCCCTACCCTCACTGCCCTCCGTTTCCTCCATGCAGGCCCCCACATCCCTCAGAATGACGTTGGACGTGGGGCCGGAGGATGAGCTTCCCGACTGGGCTGCAGCCAAAGAGTTTTACCAGAAGTACGACCCTAAGGACGTCATTGGCAGGTGAGCCTTGGCCGGGAATACAGAGGTCCAGAAAAGTTGGATCCCAGCCAGGTATAAACGATTCGTGCTGAAGGCTGGCTAGTGAGGAAGTGGTTAGTGGAAAACAGTGACTAAACTGGTATTCTGAGTTAGTTAACTCTCTTCCCCCCCCTCTCCTTTTTCTCTAATCCATTCATTTATATAGTTAACAAACTTGATTGTGTGCCAGACACAAAGCCGAACACTGGGAGGGTAGAAAATACCTACACTTCAGTTAAAAGTGACTGGAAGAAGCACCTGGGTGTTTGGAAGGTATCCAACTAGCTACGTAGGGGTCTGTCTAAAAGCTTCTGTGGTCACCACCACCCCAAGATGCTCTATGGGTTTTAGTTTCAGAAACATAGTGTATTGCTTATGAATTGTTACTAATGATACCATAAAGTTTCTGTCTTGGAGTTTACATTCTAACAGTAGAGGCAGATAATGAAAGCAAGATGAAAGTTAATGCAAGTGTTGGGGAAAATAAATACAGGACTTACAGGGGCTTTAGGAGACTTCTGAGAAAATGTCAGGATTAGCCCTTTCAGCCTGAGCTGGAGGTGAGAACTAGTGCCCAGCTGCTTTTCTGATCTTTAGCTCTAAGCTTGAACCCAAATATCAGTCTCTGGGTCTTTTATTTATCATACCTTCTGTTTTGCTGTTGAGTTTGGCATGAGATGAATAATTGTGTTAAGACACTTTTTAGCATATGGTGGCACTTCAGACATTTAGGTTTTTAGAAAATTTTTCTGCCTTTTACATAGAGATTAGATAGGAAAGGGGCAAGTGATGGTAGTTAGTGGTGATTGCAGAGGATTTTATTTTTATCTTTCAGATAATAGGGTGATAGGTAATTTTGAATGAATCCCACAGTTAATTGTAAGCTTGAACAAATAGCTCATGGCTTTTCATCCTAGCACTCAGGGAGGTAGAGGCAGGTGGAGTTCTGAGTTTGAGGCCAGCATGGTCTGTGTAGCAAATTCCCAGGCCAGCCAGACTTACAGTGAGACTTAGGAGGTGAGGGCTGTGAGAGCTGTCCAAGTGTGATAAGGTCTGAGTGAAGGCAGTGAGTTTGCTGGGGGTGAAACCCAAGCATGTGGATTAGAGAGAGTGCTTGGGTGGGAACGAGACAGAGCAACAGTTTAGCTTGGGAGTGTGAACAGCAACAGCACTAACAGATCAGAAGTGCGGCGAGAGAAGTTAGTTTTGGGAGAAAATGCATTGTGTGTAGAGATATGAATGAAATATCTTTGTGATCCATAAGGAGAGATGTCAGGAAGACATGATCTGACAAGGGAAATGTCTGGCTTAGAGGTTGAGGTCACAGAGGTGCAGAAGATACTCAAGGAAAATGTCAGGGCTAAGGATGGAGCCCTGGCTAAACCCAACTTATTTTTTTATTTGTTATTGTTGGGACAGTCTCTCTGTGTAACCAAGGTTGGCCTGGAACTCAAAATTCTTGTCTTAGTCTTCTGAGTGCTGTAAATGCAGGCATGGGCCAACATACTCAGCTTTATTGATTTGTTTGGCAGGTTTTTGGTGGAGGGCCTGGGGGGGTTGAATTTGAGCTCAGAGACTTTCACATGCTAAGCAAGTACCCTACCATTGGGCTACAGCCCAGCCCTATATTTTGGCATTGTTAATTCCTGCTCAGTGAGCATACTACCCTAAACTATTCTTCCAGCCCAAGATTGACCTCTGAGGAGTGGGCAGAGAACTAGGCACTGGATTCTATCAACATTAAAAAGTTGGGCTCTTGTCCTAAGACTTGGCTCTCCCCTTGAAATGATCTAGAATCTCACTAGAAAGGCTTACTTGCTAAAGAGTAACTGCCATTAAATTGAAAGGCTTGTGGGAGCTGTTCTTTCTACTACAGAACATAGAATTGGAGGAGGCAGCATTAGTCTGGTCTAGATAACTTAGGCTAGATGACTTGAGTCTTTAAACTTCCTGAAGTCAGAAGTTTTTTTTTTTTGGTTTGGTTTGGTTTTTGGAGATAGGGTGTTTCTCTGTATAACAGTCCTGAATGTTCTGGAACTAGCTCTGTAGACTAAGCTGGCCTCAAACTTACTGAGATCCACCTTCCTCTGCCTCTTGAGTACTGGGAATAAAGGTGTGTGCCACCATTGCCCAGCTAATTACAAATTTCTTAAATGAAGTTTATTAGAGATGAGTTGACTAGAGACTGGAAATGTGGCTTAATGGCAGAATGCTTCTCTAGCATGTGTGAGGCCCTGAGTTTTACTACATACATACACACATGCATGCATACATACGTACATACTAATTAAACCAAAAGCTTGAGGCTCAGATAGACAGGAAATTGAAATTATAAAGTGGCCAAGAATAAGACAGTAGGAAGAAGTGAGTATATTGATGGTCCAGTTAAGATATGGCCAAAAGGTAACATACCCATTGGTTACACTACATTTGAACAGACATTTGGTAAATTGGTGTTTTTTGATTTACTTGTGATATGGATGACAGGATTCTCAACAAATGGAATTACATGTATGAGGCTAAGGATACAAAAGAAAACAGATAGGGAAGGCCATGTAAAGGACAACCAGGAACCAGGGAACAAGCATAAAAATTGTGGTTTGTTTTTTTGGTTGGTTGGTTGTTTTTTTTGTTTTTTGGTTTTTTTCCGAGACAGGTTTTCTCTATATAGCTTAGGAGCCTGTCCTGGAACTAGCTCTTGTAGATCAGGCAGGTCTCAAACTCACAAGAGATCCACCTATCTCTGCTTCCCAAGGGCTGGGATTAAAGGTGCCCACCACCACCCAGCAAGAAATATGTTTGATCACAGAGCCCAAGCATGGAAATCCATGTGCCTCTTAACAGAAGCCAAATGGACTACCTTACTAACATTTTCAACATCCCTTTGAGATATTTTTTTCCCCACATTTCATAGTTGTAGAAGATAAAGTGCAGATGAGTCTCTGGGTCATTTCTCAATCAGTTGATGGCAGTTTCTGACCTACACTGAGATCTTAGTCTGAACAGAGCTTTTCTTACATGCAGAATGTTAGAGGGAGGTTTGGGTTTGGATGGAGACAGATAGTTTCTTACCACTTCCTACCATGGGCAAACTCTGGGACCGTGTGAAAAAGCCTTGCTCAGGGCTTATACAGAGGGAAGGATAGAGCCTGGATTTCTCCCAAGTCATCTGCCAGAGTCCTGTGTCCTTTGTGTGACATCTTGCTGGTTGGTACTCACATGCCTGAGGATACTGTTCCTGTGGTACTTGTCCTATTGTCAGATGGGTCTTCAGAGTCTGGGATAGCAAGCATAATGGTCCAAAAGTTCTACTCTATATGGAAGTAAGGATGTAGAAGTTAGCATGCCTGTAATCTCAGAACTTAAGTAGCCTCACTTAAGTAGCTGAGGCAAGAGGATTGAGTTCAGGGCCAGCCTAGGCTACATAGCAACATAGCAAGACTCAGTCTTGTGGGTGCAGTGGCACCCACTTTAATCCCAGCACTTGGGAGGCAATGGCAGTAGAGTCTCTGTGACTTCAAGGCCACCCTGGTCATCATAGTGAGTTCCAGGAAAGCCGAAGCTATATAGTAAGACCCTATCTCGGGGTGGGGGTGGTGTGGTAAGAAAAGAAAAAGGATGAGGAAGTTGGAGAGAGTAGGGGAGGCCTGACTTGACTATCATTTGATTGATTCTGCTAGAGGAGTGAGCTCTGTGGTCCGCCGCTGTGTCCATCGAGCTACTGGTGATGAGTTTGCAGTGAAGATCATGGAGGTGACAGCTGAGCGGCTGAGTTCTGAGCAGCTGGAGGAGGTGCGGGAAGCCACACAACGAGAGATGCAGATCCTTCGCCAGGTCGCTGGCCACCCCCATATCAGTGAGGCTGCATTCCCTGTTCCAGCTGGCTGACAGCCCCCCATGTCTGCTGGCATGTTCTTAACCCACACCCTAGAATCACCTCTAGGTCTCTCTGTTCTTCCTCCTCGCTCTCTCTACCTCCAAGAGTGGCCAGTCTTAGGGTCCCTGTAGCCACCTTGGTATTCCTTCCTTCCCAGTGGAATAGTCTAGTGCTGCCTCTGGGTGGAAAAGCACCTGTGATATATATCTGCTCCTTTCCATCTCTCTGCCTCTTTTCCCCAGTCACTCTCATCGATTCCTACGAGTCTTCTAGCTTCATGTTCCTGGTGTTTGACCTGTGAGTATCACCCTGCCCATCTGAGAAGCCTACTCCTTTTCTCCATGTGTGGCCCCAGTGTTCAGTTCCATGGGCGGGAGACCACCTTGCTTATGTCTTGCTCTGCTCCTGCCAGGTCTCTGTACTGCCCTGCCTCTCTGAAAGCCCAAAGTACAGGCCTTCTCCTTAAGTGCTACAATTGAGGCAAATATTTGAAGAGTAATAGTGATCAATATTAATGCCAAGAGTTGTAAAGATCCAAGGGGTCCCTGTCCCAGTCCCTCATATATAAAATGACTGGAAAGGAAATGACTAGGCACACATATTAACAATGGACTAATTATAAAAGTGCCTCACTTGGCAGTCTTTCCTCATTTAACACACTGCACTGCTGTCCACTCTGCCTATGGGTTCTTTTTCTTTGGTTTATTTGAATCTGATGTTATGTTAAGAGTGCAAACTAATTGCAAAGTATTTCAAGAGTATTAGTTAGCCAGGCATTATGCCTGTAATCCCAGTACTATAGAGACTGAGGCAAGAAGATTTCAAATTCAAGGCTAGCCTGGTCTATGTACCAAGACCCTGTATCTGGGAAAGGAGGGGATAACCTGAATACCAAAGATTAACAGACCTTCAGAAAAAAATGCGTGGAGCTGTCCTATGGCCCTCTTAAGAAATCTAAGGGAAATAGGAAATGTCTATTAACTGTCCTGTAGAGTTGTAGGACAATGACAGTCTGTTTTGAGTATTGATCAGAATTCTTCTTTTTTCATTGGGGGGGGTAGTATATGGTTGTTTCTGGACAGGGATTCTCTGTGTAGCCTTGGATGTCCTGGAACTCACTCTGTAGACCAGGCTGGCCTCAAACTCACAGAGATTCACCTGCCTCTGCCTCCCAAGTGCTAGGATTAAAGGGATGCGCCACCACTGCCCAACCCAGAATTGTAATTATAACTTCAATTTTATTATTTACAAATTTATTATTTATTTATGTTAGCTGCTCATTGAACTTTTGGTCCATGCTCTACAAGGTCTCTTGCAGCAATAGTTGCTCTCAGATAAGAAAATCCTATGAATTATTGTCACAAGAAGTCACTATTCTTTCTAAAAGTGCCCCTTCATGGCCCATTAAGGATATTTCAGCCACCAGCCCACTGTGTCAGAAACTGCCCTGGAACCCAGGTCACACCTGTAATGTTCTCTCCCATGCTTCTGCTGTCCACAGAGGTTTCTCTCCTCACTAGCCTTGTCATCTTCTCAGTAGGGTGCATCTGCTTCTTCTCCCCCTCCCCCAATTCCTTAGGATGCGGAAAGGAGAGCTGTTTGACTATCTCACAGAGAAGGTGGCCCTCTCAGAAAAGGAAACCAGGTACTGGTAGAGCCTGATGCCCCTGGGATCTACAGGGGAGTGGTACAGGGAGAAACAGAAGCCGAGTCTGTGCCTCACCCAGGTCCATCATGAGGTCTCTGCTGGAAGCAGTGAGCTTTCTCCATGCCAACAACATTGTACACCGAGACCTGAAGCCTGAGAATATTCTCCTAGACGACAATATGCAGATCCGCCTTTCAGATTTTGGGTTCTCCTGCCATTTGGAACCGGGTGAAAAGCTTCGAGGTGAGGGGACTTGGATACCTTAGGAGACTTGGGAGGAAGGAGACCCACACATGAGGTGGCTGGCCAGATTGAGAACTGAGTCCCACATGCTAAGGAAAATAAGGTGAATACATGCTGAGTACCCTCTTGATGATGCAAAGGCTTTGTGCAACTCATTGCCTACTTTACCTTGGAGAATGGAGATGGATAAGCAGAGGACTATGCCAAGGGACCTAGAAGAAAGGAACACTGCTCAACCTCCAGGGCTGGGCTTTGTTCTAGGAGAAAAGAGGGAGTAGGGCTAGAGGGGCCCAGCCGTTTGTTTAGATAATTCAAGATGTCTGTGTAGAACTTCAGTGCTGTAAGGAGCCTGGTGTGTCCAATTAGCCTTGTGTAATATCTCACCTGGGGCCCTGGGAGCCAGAACTTGCACGATCTATGTATTCCCTGTAATAAATATTTCTGGGACTAGGAAGATGGCTCAGTGAACAAAGCATTTGCCATGCAAGTTTGAGGACCAGAGTTTAGATGCTAGCAACAATGGAAATACCAGCAAGGAGATGGGATCCTTAGAGTAAGCTGGCTAACTAGACTATCTGAATCAGTGGAGCTTTGGGCTCAAGTGAGAGATCTTGCCTAAATACATAAAGTAGAAAAAACTGAGGAAGATGGCCAATGTCAGCAGCATTGGGCCTACATGCCTCTCTCTCACATAAACACACACACAGTATTTCTAATGCAGATGGAAAACTTTAAGCAAATTCAAGTGTAAGAATTCCAAGAACTATTCATAAGCTATCTTGTACTTTATGGTTTTGTATTGTACATACTAATAGCTGTGAAATAATGGGCATTTACCATGGGCAGGCACCACACCAAATCTCTGTGCTGTGGCTTATTTCCCAAAGTCTTCTCAAGAGCAACGGAGATAAATAGTGTAGGAGTCTATTTTTTTTTTTTAATTTTTTTGTATCTTACGTGCATTGGCATTTTGCCTGCATGCATGCAGATATATATATATATCTGTGTGAAGGTGTCAGAATTCCTGGAATTGGAGTTGTGAGCTGCCATATGGGTGCTGGAAATTGAACTCAGGACCTCTGGAAGAGCAGCTGGTGCTCTTAACCATCTCTCCAGCTCTTTTGTTTTTTGAGACAGGGTTTCTCTGTGTAATAGTCTTGGCTGTTTTGGAACTTTCTCTGCAGATCAGCCTGCCTCTGCCTCCCAAGTGCTGGGATTAAAGGCATGAGCCACCACTGCTTGGCAGGAGTCGTGAAGACATGAGATGCTTTGCCCAAGCCACTCACCTGGGCCGGGTTCTGCACTTAGGCGGTCTAACTTAACTTTCGGCTGCTGAGCTTCCTTTCCCCTTGGGCTCCCATACAGACCTCTTTGGAACCCCTTGCCCTGCCTGCTTTGCCCTCTTTCTTGCTTTGAGTGAATCAGGTTTCACTTTAAACCTCCACTCAGGGAGGCTCCCTGCTTTTTGGTATTTTCTTCATCACATGACTTGCACTCTGTTCTTAGTTGCTTCCTGAAAGATAGTGAGCTTGGGAAAAGTTGCATCTACCTCATGACAGTGTAATAGAGTTCTTAGTACATGCTAGATAGTCAAATACTTGTATTCCCAGTCTTTTTCAATTTAGGCTTATTAAATTCTCTTGGATGGGTTGAATTTTTTTATGGAGGGTTTGTTTTGTTTTGAGGCAGGGACTCTATGTAACCTTGCCTATCCTGGAACTAGCTATGTAGGCCACCATAGCTCATGTAGATCATGCACAGCTCAAGGAAGGGTTTTAACAGAGACTACCCCAGTATGTGCTTTAAGAAATTCCAGACTTGTGTCAGGCATGGTAGCACACAGCTTTAATCCCAGCACTCAAGAAGCAGAGGCAGACAGACCTGAGTCCAAGGGCAGCCTGGTCCACATAATGAGTTGGTTCCAAGCCAGCCACTGGCACATAGTGAGATCCTCTCTGAAAAAAGGAAACATTCCAGGCTGGGGTGTAGCTCAGTGGTAGAATACTTGATTGGTATGTGTGAAACTCTAGGAACAACCTAGAAATCCTGTCTTTCAAATTGAAGAGAAGCAAGAAGAAACACTGTTTGTTCTCCTTGGGTTGGATGGCGGTATCACTCATCATCATAGTGGAGCCCATGAAAGGAAAGACAGGCTTGGCAGAGAGTAATGCAGCAAAACTTTGAATTTTGCTCTTCACATGTGTTATGTATCTAATAATGTAACATGTATTGGTGAATGACGACTAGCTTGGCTTGGCTTGAGGAGGTAAATGATGTGGTTGAGTGACCTTGAAGTCATTCCCAAACTGGGTATTCCTAGGAAGGCCTATGTGAGCTTTAGTGGGAATGTAAGTTGGTTAGCAAGGCTCAGCAGGAAACACAGGAGCAGGAAGGGAACACTCTCTCTTGTAAAATTGAGAAGGATCCGGTGTTTAGGGTTCTGGAGGGGGCTAGCGGCATTCCCTCAGTCTTCTCCCCTCTCTCCCCAGAGTTGTGTGGGACTCCAGGGTATCTAGCACCAGAGATCCTTAAGTGCTCCATGGATGAAACCCACCCAGGCTATGGCAAGGAAGTTGACCTGTGAGTTTGTGTCCTCCCTTCCCTTCTGTGTGTTATACCCTGGCTTGTTACCTAGGTTGGTCTAACCACAGTCTCATTCTCAGCTGGGCCTGTGGGGTGATCTTGTTCACACTTCTGGCTGGATCACCACCGTTTTGGCACCGGCGCCAAATCCTGATGCTACGCATGATCATGGAAGGCCAATACCAGTTTAATTCACCCGAGTGGGATGATCGTTCTAACACCGTCAAAGATCTGGTGAGTCGGGGCCATGAGAGGATACTAGGGAAGACCCAGGAGCTTGCTCTCATGCTGTAAGGTTTCTCTAGATCTCAAAGCTGCTGCAGGTGGACCCTGAGGAACGCTTGACAGCTGAGCAAGCTCTGCAACACCCCTTCTTTGAGCGCTGTGAAGGTAGCCAATCCTGGAACCTCACACCTCGACAGAAGTTCCGGGTAAGCTTGAGAGTGGGAGAGTCTGCACCCAGCCTTGCCCTTTTCCCTATGCTATGCTTTATTGGGGCTAATAATGTCCCTTTTCCCAGGTGGCAGTGTGGACAATACTGGCTGCTGGACGAGTGGCATTAAGCACTCACCGTTTACGGCCACTGACCAAGAATGCACTGTTGAGAGACCCCTATGCACTGAGGCCAGTACGGCGCTTAATTGATAACTGTGCCTTCCGGCTCTATGGACATTGGGTGAAGAAAGGTGAACAGCAGAACCGGGCAGCTCTCTTCCAGCACCAGCCTCCTAGGCCTTTCCCCATTGTGGCCACTGAAGAAGAAGGGGACTCCAACGCTATCACAGAGGATGAGGTTGCACTGGTGCTGGGCTAGGACCTCATCCTTGGCAAGCCAGAAAGCAGGACTCTCCAAGAGGAGATTTTTTTTTTTTTTTTTTCTATCATTCCAGCCTGTTGGGACTCAGAGCTTAGCCTTGCCTTGCCAAGCCTTCCACTGATAATGCTACTCACCACAGAAACCAGCCCTCTACCTCTACCCATCCTGGACTTGGAGATCAGGGCTGAGATGGAAGGGAACCTGTCCCAGTGTTGCACCTGGCCTTATCACTGTGCTGCATCTGAAATAAAGCTGCTGCAAGCCTGGGAGAGCCAGTGCCCGCCTGTGCCTGCTGTCTGGTTGCATAGGGAAGCAGGGAAGTGCTCGTGAAGTTGTGGATGGGACGCTCTGGCCCAGGTCTTTATTGGAGAAGATGCTGGGGATCACTTGGTCTTTGTCTTGCCTTTGCTGGGAGGTGGCTGATAGGGCCGCTCCAGGGCTGCCAGTTTGCTGCTCAGCCTTTCCTCACTGTCCTTGAGTCGCTCCTCCACCAGCTGCTGGAGCTGCCTCAGCTCCTTGCTCAGCTGGGTCTTGATATAGGTTTGAAGGATGCACACCTCGCCTACAGGGAGAGAGGAGGGTAGGAGAGGTGTTATCTGGGAATGAGCTATGCAGAGTGTTGCTTCAATTTAGGAACTGTCGGCCATCTCTCTGAGACAGACAGCTGGGCAGAGTGGCCAAACTATACTCTGTGGGTTCGTATTTTTACTGTACTTTAGTTGACATCAGGCAGCCTATCCATCAGCTTCTTCATAGAAAACACGGATGGGAACAATTCCTTGGCTGTAGGATGGAGTTAATATGCACAGCATGTTTAAAACTTGGCATCCTGGGACCCAGCTTATCAGATCTCTACTTTATATTGTCAGTCTCTCCCATCATTCTCTCTCTGTGGTCACCTTTTCTACACATAGCAACACCCAGCAGTTACACTATAATCTGGAATTTTGCCTAAGGAATTACTTAGAGAGGGGACATGGGGCTGGAGAAACAGCTCAGTGGTTAAAGGGGCTGGCTGCTCTTCCAGAGAATCTGGGTTCAGTTCCCAGCAACCACATGGCAGCTCACAGCTGTGTGTAACTCCAGTGCCAAGGGCATTCAGACCTCTTCTGACTTCTCAGATACTACATACACATAGTCACAGATATACACGTAAGCAAAATTCCAAAACACATAAAATAAAAATAAAGAAATCTCAAGAAATTTTGGGGGACACCAGAACTAAAACTAAGCCATGAGCTTGGTGTGGTAGATCTCTACAACCCCATCACACAGGAGGTTGGACGGGGGATCTTGAGTTCAAAGCCAGCCTGGACTGCACAACAAGACCTTCTTTCCAAAAAAATAATGGTTGGCAGGATGGTTCAGTGGGTAAAAGAGCTTGCTGGACAAGCCTGACAACCTGAGTCCAGTCCTTGGACCCCAAGTCCCCTTATCTCCACACATACACATTCTCATTCTATGTTGGTAATAAAACTGGAAAGATGGCTCAGCACTGGGAGGCAGAGGCAGAAGGATCTCTAGGAGTTTGAGTCCAGCATGGTCTACATAGCAAGTTCCAGACCCTATCTCAAACAAAGTGGGTGGGCTGAGGATATACAGTTTAGTGCTAAATGCTCATGCAAATGGCTCTAATTTCATCCCCCAGTGTTACAAAAAAACAAAGACAAATTGGGGTGGGGTGGGGATGAAGACTCAAATAGACCCAAACCCTTCATTTGGCCTTGGCACAGAGCAGGGCACCTTAAGCCCTCAGAGTGCTCACTTGGCTGTTGCTCTGGCTGGATCACAGTTTCTGGTTCTTCCTCCTGTGGAGTAGCTGCTTGCTCTGCTGCCACCTCACCATCTTTCTCTGCAAACCAGAAGCAGGAAGAGGCCTTATTCCCAGCTCTGGCCCAGTCCCAGCCTGGCATCTGTACCCATCTTACCCTCTGGCCAGGGCTTCGGTGGCTGTAGCCCCATGTAAGTCAAAGATAGGTCCAGCCGAACCTGGGGAGGTAGGGAAGAGGGAGGCTGCAGAGAACAGTACTGCCCATAAGAGAAAGGCAGACAGTGCCGTTCAGTACTTGTGCACAGTACCTGGGGTGTGAAGACGTATTTGTAGAGCTTGAAGTGGCGGAAGTAGGTGTTGACCACATAGTCTGCCAACGCCAGCAGCTGTTCCTCTTTAAAAAGGTCGATGCTAAAAGGGGGCCGCTGTGGCAGCAATTAGGAGTTAAGTGCCCTTGACAGCCTCCAGAAGCCTACCCAGCTCATCCTCCAAAAGCACAGCTACCCCAGGGGGCCTTCAGAGGAAGGAGGGAGAGAACAGGAATTTGGGCTAGCTTACCCTGACTCCATGGCAAAAGAGAACACTGGTAAAGTAGCGGTAGCATTCCTCCACATTGCCCAAAGGGGTAGCTGAAAGAGGGCAAGGTGAGGCAGTCAGGGCCTCCTACTCTCCACGCCTTGTAGAGAGAGTATGGAATTCAGAAGTGGACAGATCTACAAGTAAGGCCTGGCTTGTTCTGTTAATTTATTCAACAAATACTAAATTCTCACTATATACTTTTCTAGGAACTGAACAAGACAGGCAACTTCCTTCCCTCGGGTTTGGTTTTGTTTCTGGGACAGTATTTCATTCAGTAGTTTAGGCTAGTCTGAAACTCAATGTGTAACTCAAGCTGGCCTCATACTAATGGCATTGCTCCTGCCTCAGTCTCCTGAGCACAAGGTTTTCAGGCTTGAGCCCAAGATACTTGGCACCAGGAAGCTACTTTGTGAGACAGGGTCTCCTGTTGCCCAGGATAACTTTGAACTCATTTTGTAACTGAGGGTGACCTTAAACTTCTGATTCTCCTGCCTCTACTTCCTAAGTGCTGAGACTATAGATGTGTGCCACCCCACCTGATTTACACAGTGCTGATCCCAGCCCAGGTTTTTGCACATGCTAGGGAAGCACTCTACTAACCGGGCTACATCCCCAGCCCCCTACTTTTATATTTCCCAGAACAGACCCATAACATTATTACCATGTGTTTCATTTATTGGTAAGGACACAGCTCTCAAAGGCAACAAGATGTGGTATAATAACACTAGTTATGGTGGAACGAAACCCCAGATTGCAGTTCCCCTACTTCTGCTTCCCACAGTCACTTGTGCTAGCCCAGCCTCCTCTCCTAGGGCTCAAAGCTTTTGGTGGCAGCCTCCCTCTCACCAACACAGGCCTTGTGAAGATCTTGGAGCAAGGCACAAGCTGCTGATGTCTGCTCTAGTGAAAAGCCCTGCTGACGGCAGAAGATGAGTGCATGGGAAAAGAGGTCCAAGATAATGGCATCCCGTAGGCTCTGCTCAGGACAGCCAAGTTCCAAGAGCTCAGCCAGAACCCTTGGGAGGGAGAGGAAGGAATGAGTGACAACAGGAGCTCCCCCCACACCCTCACCTTAGGATTTATTTTTATTATACAGGTATGGGTATTTTGCCTGCATGTGTGTATGTGTACTACATTTCTCTGGTGTCCAGAGAGGCTAGAAGAGGGTGTTGGATCTTAGGGAACTGGAATTACACACCATGTGGGAGCCGGGAACCAAACTTGGGTCCTTTGGAAGAACAGCCAGTGCTCTTAACCACTGAGCTGCCTCTGCAGCCCTGAACACAAGCCTCCTCTCACCTCCATAACCTGACGAGCTATGCTTCAGCCTGCCATTCCTCATGTCTCCCCACCCAAGAGCTCTGCCTCTCCCAACTCAAACCCATACTCTCTCATCTCCTCCACAGTGGCCGCCTTCTCCAGTCTGTGCATAGAATGGATGTCCAGGTATTTCCTGTCAGGAAAGATGAGACAAATCATTGATACTTCATATAACTTACCTGATGGGACTGACTTCTAGGGCATTGGACTGGGAATCAGGAGTTGAGGCTTGGCTAACTTGCTAAGTACCCTTTGGCAAGTCATTTTTTTTTTTTAACTTTTATTTTATGTGTATTGGTATTTTGCCTGCAGGTAAGTCTGTGTGAGATTGTCAGATCTTGGAATTATAGACAGTTGTTAGCTGTCATGTGGATGCTAAGATTTGAACCGAGGTCCTTTGTAAGAGTAGTTAGTGTCTTTAATGGTTGAGCCATCTTTCTAGCCCCCTGGCAAGTTATTTTTTTGGGGGGCCTCCCTCCCACTGTAAATAAGGAACATCATGGTCTAGGATCTAGACTCCTGATGAACACTTAGGAGGCATTTTACTCTTAAATTCAGTGATTAGAAAACTCGAGTTCTTGTCTTGATGTGTGTGACCATGGTGAAGTCCCCCAGGGCCTTGGCATCAATCAGCAGTGTCTCTCTTGTTTACATGTTTAGTACTTGTCTGCTTTCTCACGCTGCCTCTTTGCACTGAGCCTGGAACACTGGTGACTGGGTCACCTTGAGCATCTCTCAGCTCAGTCTCTTCATCTGTAAAATTGGGGTGCCCTGGCTGCTGGACAAGACTGTTGGGGAGACCTTAAAGGAATAATACAACTGAGACGTGTAAATTTTCCCCAGGGCTCTCCACACTCACCACATACAGATCCGGGGCTGGGGTAGTGGTGGCTGTGGAGAGAAAACAGATTGTGGAAAGAAGAGCAGCTATTACAATATGTGGCTCCTAGTCCAGTCCCTGGTCCGTCGTGAATGTCTAGCGGGTCTGAGAACGCTATAGTTTTAGGTATAGTAAAGGGGGCGGGGCTGGGTTTTAGTGGGCTCTATACTATTTAGTAGCCTATTAACAAGGCAACTCCAGAAATGTCTCGGGCGCTAGTAAACGTAACGACTGTCAACGCCTTGCTGGAAATCTATGAACATTCACTAGTGGACAGCTCTATCCGGCCCTCACCGGGAACAAGTTGGCTCCAGGATCTTCAGCCACTTCCACAGAGGTAGTGGCCGCATCTGCGGTGCACTCGATCGGCACGTCTGTTCCGGTCCTCATGGCCGATCCACCCTCCGACCTGGGACACCTCTCAAGTTCCTGCTGCACCTTGGGGCGATGTTCAAATTCCGACTGCATCTTAACTCCCAGGATCTGGCTGGATTTGGGGCTGATCATCATCGTCCTTCTGAACCACACTCAAGCGCTCTCTCGCCTAGGCTCTGGGACAGCCAGTTCTCCCACTGCAAAGCCTGGACCTGCCCCGTCTAGTGGTTCTCCACAGGCGGTGAAGCAAGAGGCAGCCAATCCGCAGGGAGCGTCTTCCCAATCTAATCTCCCCGGTGACCGTTGTTAAGGAAAGTAGAAAGTACAAGCACACGCCAATCATTGAGAAGTTAGAGCGCATGCGTAACAAGTTGCACGTGCCTCTTCAAAGTTGCTTATTGGAGTCACTCTTTTTAAAGATTTAATTAAAAATAAATTTTGTGTGTGTGTGTGTGTGTGTGTGTGTGTGAGCGCGCGCGCGCGCGTACTGCGCAAGTCGTTCGCGGGTGTCCACCGAGGCCAGAAGAAGGCGACGGATCACCTGGATCTGAAGTTACAGGCGGTCGTGAACCGGGTATCCTGCATAGCTGCAGTAAAGCTCCAACTGCAGACCCACCTGTTTCCTAGGCTGCAAAGTGCAACTGCGGTATCAGCAACTATGGGAATGGCAGGCCAATCACTGAGAGATACACAGTCGATCGCGAAAAAAAACTAAAAGACTCAAGAGGCGGAACCTAGAGCCACCAATAGAAACAGGAAATAAGTTTCGCCACATCCGGAGCTGCTCTGACGCCTGCGCTGTGCGTCTGGCGGCCGGTGACGTCCGGTGAAGTCCAAGATGGTGGCGCTCGGCTGACCCTACGGTGGGTGCGGACCCTGGGCCAGCGGGGGCGGGGTCCGGCAGGTGTGTCCCCGGGACGCTCGGGGCTCCGGAGCTCCGGACGCGTCCATAGCTCTGCCCTCTGTTTTTTGCAGGTGACGGAAGTGCCGCCTCCGCCCGCCCGACGGCCAGGGAGAGCCCTAAGGTGCCCAGCAGCCACCGCCGCTATGTCTGGCCTCAGCAACAAGCGCGCCGCAGGCGACGGGGGCTCAGGACCCCCAGAGAAGAAGCTGAACCGCGAGGAGAAGACCACGACTACGCTGATCGAGCCCATTCGTCTTGGGGGCATCTCTTCCACGGTTGGTGGGCTTTTGCTGAAATCGTGTTTGACCTCAGCCCAAAGCGTTCAGAATCTTGTGTGTGCACGTGTGTATATACACAAAACGGGGGTGGGGGTGGGGTGGGCGTGCCATGGCGCGCGTGTGATCAAAGGACAACTTTGTAGAGTCGTTCTCCTTGTACTCATACATAAATTTATTCCCATAAGTCGTGCGATTAGTCAAAACTTCACAGTTAGAAAAGAAGTAGAAACAGAATGTGAAGCTCTCATGACCAAGATACTTTCCCTGTATGTGTCTGAGTCTTTTTAAATTTCACCGGTAGCTATCCTTAGCATGCCTCTCCCCTTTCAATCTAGTTGCCCTCCCTTCTCTCTGGGATGGTTCAAGGCCCTGCCCGACATTTCTCTGTCTCTTCCCCCATTGTAGGAGGAGATGGATTCCAAGGTACTGCAGTTCAAGAACAAGAAGCTGGCAGAGCGGCTGGAGCAGCGGCAAGCTTGTGAAGACGAGCTGCGGGAGAGGATTGAGAAACTGGAAAAGAGGCAGGCCACTGACGACGCCACGCTCCTCATCGTCAACCGCTACTGGGCCCAGGTGGATGCCCGCAGATCGCCCTGCTGGGAAAGGCACTGAGGCATTCATAACCTCTGTGGTTCTTTCTTCTTTCAGCTAGATGAAACTGTAGAAGCCCTTCTCCGATGCCATGAGCGCCAGAGGGACCTGTCTTCGGGAACAGAGGCACCTGGGTGCCAGGAGGGGCTAGCTCGTGATATGATCCCTCGAACAGACCCAGGAACATCAGATCTGAGGGGTAGGACCAGAGAGAGCCCTGGGGACCTTAATTTTTGAGATGGGTCTTGAGGAGGGAGGTGGTGTTGATGTTGGGCTGCTGGAATGCCTGCACCCACAACTGTTTAAAAGTTGATTTCATGCCAGATGTGATGAACACCTTTAGTCCCAGCACTTGGGAGGCAGAAGGTGGTTCTCTTAATAGAGTTTTAGGTCAGCCATGACTACACAGCTACATAGTGAGAGTCTGTCTCAAAGACAATTTAAAAAAACAAAATTAAATGGTAAGAACAAAATTTTGGAATTGAACTGAATTTTCATTATCCCAACACTCTGGAAGTAGAGGCAGGTGGATCTCTATTTTATTTATTATTTATGGTTTTTCAATGTGTCACCCTGGCTGGCCTAGAACTCGATCTTTAGACCAGGCTGGCCTCAAACTCATATATCCTCCTTCCTCTGCCTTCTGAGTGCTAGGATTAAAGGCTTGCACCATCACTGCCTGGCCTTTATTAAAAAACAAATTAAAACTGAACTGGACACTAGTCTTTGGCATTCTTAAACACATCACAGATTAAGAATAAAAAAAAGAAAATGAGTACTCTAGTAATTATGGATTTATACTAGACATACAGGGATCTGAGGAAAGCAGGAAGAAATATATTCTTGCCTTAAAGGAAACTATAAACCATAGTAGGTAAAAAGTATTGGCGCTGGTGTAGTGGGAGGCTGGGTTCTACTTTAGAATGGGAAGGCAGAGGAGCCTTCTCCGAGGATGTAATGTTGCTGATCTTTAAAAAAGTTAACTATTGCCAGGTGGTGGTGCACACCTTTAATCCCAGTACTCAGGAGGCAGAGGCAGGTGGATCTCTGTGTGTTTGAGTGAGACCAGGGCTATATAATAAGATCCAGTTCAGAAGAGAAGGTTACTTAAATTATAGGTATCTTCTTGTCAAGATGGGGCGAGAGTATCTTGCAGGTCGTATTAATGAGGTTAGCCATTGAGATTAAAGCTCTCATTGCAGAACTTGGTATAGTTTGATGGTCATTGCTGCCTTTACTCCTATGGGGGTTATCTGTCCCTTGCAGAACCCCTGCCTATGCAGTTCCGAACCCCTCTCAGTGAGCCAGCACTGGCTTTCGTGGTGGCGCTGGGTGCCATCAGCAGTGAGGAAGTAGAGTTGCAGCTGCAGGGGCGGATGGAATTCTCCAAGGCCGCTGTGTCGCGTGTGGTAGAGGCCTCCGACCGCCTACAGCGCCAGGTGGAAGAGCTCTGTCAGCGAGTATACAGCCGGGGTTAGTTCCTAGACGCTATCCTAGAGAAGTCCATCCCCACCTGCATCCTCAGGAGTCCCCCTCCCAATCTCAGTAATTCCTTGATGTCAGAATTCCCAATGAATAGTCAGCCAGCCCTGTTCTGTTGTAACAACTTAGTTCCAGATGGGGATCTCAGCCTTGATTCCTGAGGTGGGACTCCAGAGGGATGGCTGGAGGGACTGTTGGTCCTGGTAGCCTGGTAGGGTCACACCCCTCCAGAGAGAGGGCTCTCTTGGAACACTGTGCAAACCCCAGAGGTAGTGTTTGTTCCCCTCTATGGAGAGGCAAGTACCCAGGCTTTTTGTGGCAACAGTCTTCTCCCGTCCTTAGTTCTCCCTACCAAGTATCGGCTGTTTGGATAAATGGTTCCTTCTCCGAGCTAGGTTCATCTCCTGGATTTGTCATAAGAGCTGGTTCACATGCTCAGCATGTAAACTTGAGGATTAGTTAATGCTTGTTGGGTTACCAGGACTTGACTCTCATCTGGGCTCTGCATTCCTAGGGGACAGTGAAGCCCCTGGGGAGGTGGCACGGGTACGCACCCGGGAGCTGGGCAGAGAGAACCGTCGACTACAGGACTTGGCCACTCAGCTGCAAGAGAAGCACCACCGCATCTCTCTGGAGGTGGGGTCGGACTCTTGGATGCAATTAAACTAGCAGGGTTTGGGTTTGCCATCCAAGGGTCTCAGGAAGCCAAGCCACTTTCCGTTGCCCCCAGTATTCTGAGCTCCAAGATAAAGTGACATCAACAGAGACCAAGGTCCTGGAGATGGAGACAACGGTGGAGGACCTACAATGGGACATTGAGAAGCTGCGCAAGCGGGAGCAGAAACTCAATAAGCACTTGGCAGAGGCCTTGGAGCAGGTACAGGAGCAGATGGAGCCCAATTGAGTGCCTAGGGCCCTACCTTCTGCCCTTCACATCTGTTGTGTCTGTTTTCTCTGCAGCTCAACTCTGGCTACTATGTGTCTGGCAGTTCCTCGGGCTTCCAGGGAGGCCAGATCACACTTAGCATGCAGAAGGTGAGCAGCAGGTTCCTCCAGGTCCTTCACCCAGTCCAGACACTGAGCTGACATTCCCTAAGGGCAACCGTCTGTGTCTGAGTCTGTAGCGGACATTGTTGCTCCTTTTCCTTTCATTCACTTATATACTTATTAATTAAATAATTCCAGAATGTAAGTGCTAGGAACTAAGCAGACTGAAGAGAACAAATGAAATCTGGAGCTTCAGTTGACATTCTCTTGAGTGTGCTCTGTCCTTTTGAGCATCTCTCTTTCCTTAATGCCTGTGATTGCAATCCTTTTATCTTCTCTTTGTTTTGAGGCAGGGTGTTATGACATAGGCCAAGCTGACCTCAAACTTTCGGTGTAGCTGAGGGTGACTGATTCTTCTACTTTGTGTCCCTAGTGCTGAATCACCATACAATTTCCAATCAATTTCTCGATAAACTCCAACTGTTTCATATGAGAGAGTAATAAGGCTTCCATGGAAGCTAGGTTCTTTCCGGGGGAGGGGGGGCATACAAGTAGTAAATGGTACGTAAGTTGGTAATTAGTAGAATAAAGAAAAAGTACAAGGAAGCTATTCCCAAGCAGGACTGCTTTTCTCCCGTTTCCTGAGAGTCCTGGGAAAGCCCTTGGTTTGGAGGTTTCTGTCGATGCTCTTGCATGGGAAGCGTGGGAGTATTGTATGGTGGATTATAGGGGGAACATATTGCCCATCCTGGTCTTGCCTACCACAGCCCCTTCCACTCCTTAGTTTGAGATGTTGAATGCAGAGCTGGAAGAAAATCAGGAATTGGCCAATAGCCGAATGGCAGAACTAGAGAAGCTTCAGGCTGAGCTTCAGGGGGCTGTTCGGACCAACGAACGTCTTAAGGTAGGCTGTGAATGAGTCTGAAAGGACGTGTACTAAGCCTTAGACCCTGGTGTTAACAAGACCCTCTTGGACATCTTCACCCTAGGTGGCCCTGAGGAGCCTTCCTGAGGAGGTAGTTCGTGAGACCGGGGAATACCGCATGCTACAGGCCCAGTTTTCACTGCTCTACAATGAGTCTTTGCAAGTGAAGACCCAGCTAGATGAGGCCCGGGGGCTGCTGCTGGCCTCCAAGAACTCCCACTTGAGACACATTGAGCATATGGAGGTATGGTCTTGGAATGAGCTGGGGCTGGGGGTGAGAACTAGACCTTTAGAGTTGAC